TTACCTGCAGATTTGGATCCGTAGCTGAATGCGCAAGCTCACTCTAAAATCCATTTCAGTCCATGAAAATCAATTCCAAGTACATGGTTGAATTCGTCTGGGCTTCCTGATTAACCCCATGCCCTTCTTGAGTCTTGATTTCTCCTAAAAAAGAAAACCCTAAAACACGAACGAAGAACCCTAGCTATGGGGGTTCTTCATCTAGGCCAGAAAAACACAATTGGCTAATGCAGAACGCTTGGAAATTTGATGAAGATTATGAATATACAAATGGTTTGTACAAAAGGTGCAAGGAATAAGATTTATGATTTCAAAAGAAAGGCGGTTTTCTGTGACACTTACAGTGCGTTTGAGCGTGTATGGAGATCGGCTTTGGGTTGGTTCTGCTTCAGTGATTGTCAAGGAAACGATTGAGATCGTTCTTGGCTTCTGAATTTGCCTCTAAGTGTCAATTCGAACTCAAGCTTTTTCACACTTTTTTCAAGTTTTGTTTTGATTGTTCTTGCAGCCTCCAACCTTGTTTTCGTGCCCTCTAGATTCCTTATGTACTGTGGAAGGCATTAGGTTAACAAATATGCCTTGAATCTTCCCCATCAATTCATAAGATATTTGGTTTGATTCACTTTTGAAAGCTTGCCTAATTTGTCAAAAATTCACTTTTTTGTTCATGATATGGTGAGATGTGAATTTGATGCTGACCATGATGATGATTAAGTCCTGAAAATAGCAAAAGATCTCATGTAATCAAGTTTTGGGATTTTATTTAATTTAATTTGATTTAAAATGAAATAATTCAATAAAAAATCAAATAAAATAATAAAATTGATAAATGGACACAAGTCTGAAGCTAGGACACGTGTGCAATGTGGAAAGTTCAAATCAAGTGGGAAAAAATGGGCCCATTTGACAAAATTTGAAGTTTTGGGGATAGTTGACTTTTGGCAATTTTGCAAAAATGCCCAACTTCAACAATGCATAACTTCTTCAATTTTGAACTTTTGGAAGTGTTCTTGGACTTTTTAGAAAGCTTGATATGTCCTCTAACCAACCCTTTTGGTCTCATCTCATTTTTATATTCCATGCTCAAGTTATAAGCTTTGGAAAAAAGGTGTTTTTGTTGACTTTCAAAAATGACCTATAATGTCCAAATTTATAACTTCTTGTGAGTGCATTTTCTGATCTTGGAGTATGAATATGGATTGTATGAAATTGCATCCTATTCCAAATGAGCTTTGGATGGGTCATTTCTCATAAAGTATGAGAAAGTTATGCTTGGTCAAAGTTGAGTTGACTTTTCCTGCAAAACCCTAATTTAGCAACTTTTGAGTCTTGATGAATTTTGAGCAATCCTTGATGAATCATGATCAACCCTTGATCAAATGATGAAATATCCTTCAAAATGGGAATGTTGCCAAAAAAATCTTGAGGTTTGACTGTATTTGGGTCACAGTTGACTTTTGCCCTAGCACAGTCGATTTTTGGACCCTTTGAGCAATTGACTGAGCAAACTTCCTCTGCAAGGCTTGAAATTTGACATGGATGATCTTGAGAACATATTAGGACATTAGGGAGAATTTTGAGGTCATTTGGACTTAAGGATCTTGATGCAACACAAAACCCTAATTTGGGGTTGACTGCCTTAGGAGATGATTTGTCTGACCCACTCTTGAGCAAACTTGAGCAACTTGGAGATTTTTCTTGCCATGTTTTGAGAAATATGAGAGGGCAAATTTTGGGGTACAACAGGATGCTCGAAAAGGGAGTTCAAATTCAAATAGATCGATTTAAATAAAAACTGCAAACTAATTCCAAAAATTTAAAATCGCGTAAAACTGAATATTGTTGGATGTAATTTGATGCCCAATTGCTCAGATCAAATTACATTTCAGATTAATTTTTTCAAAATTGATCCAAATCAAAATACATGTATGTATTTTTATAGTTATTATTTTTTTAGTAATATGATATATTGCGTTAATTTGTTGTTTATGAATATTTAATTTATTTTAATATTATCTATTAATTTAATTTATTTAAATATTTTAATATTTTATTCATTTCAAATATAACTAATCATTTTTATTTTTTATTTTAATATATTATATATTATGTATTACTTTAAACTTATTATTTTAAAATATTTTTTATAATATTATTATTAATTATTTTTTTATAATTTGGATATTCGAAAATAGAACTCTCAAATCTCATAAGAAAACTATTAGAATACTTGCAAATAAATTTACGTTGTTTGTATAGTAAAACCAGAAAGAAGGAATCAAGTTAATTAGACTTGATCCAACCAATGAACTACATGTTTTAAATAAAGAAAAACTACAAAAATTGGTTCAACATGTAAAAGAGAATCTTCTTAGCTTCTTACCCACTTCATAAAAGAGAGTAGCAGAAGAAGATTCCCCTTTGCTATAGGCTCCACTATCATTCTTTTACAGTGTAATTTTTTCCCCTCTCCTTTAAGCTTCGTGTGTTCCCTTAAATTAGAGTCGCAGAATTGGAACTAAGATATTCCTTCCTTCAATGAAAAATATTTTATTCTATATGGTGAATGTCTCATTTTTTAGATTAGATATTCCTCCCCTTCTTTAATGCACTAAAATTCATGATAATTATGTAACTTTTAGACTCAAACCAAAAAAGTTGCAAGTTGGATTGATACTATAAACCTATTTGAATATGTGCTTTTCTTCTTCTCTTTTCTCACTTTCTCTTTATTCACCTTGTTGGTAAAAATTATGTTGATGGTATATGCTCCTCCACAATTCATAAAGTCTTTGCAATTAATTAATTTATCATGATAGGTTCATTAATTCCTGCATGCTGCCACAGTAAGAGCATAGTTTTGTTTGGACAATCACAATAGTTATTGCTCAACACGTGGTTAGCATCTGCATATCCGAAAATGGTTTCATATTGGTCATTCATTCAACATGAGTCATGGAACAAACCATAACATGTCAATGGTTAATCTCTATCATTGTTTTAAATTACGGTTGTGGGCCTCCATGCCACGGTTGTTGTGAAATGCATTGCAATGGTAGCCATCTTAATTTTTATTGGAAGGTATTTCAGACACATAGTTGAAAATTACTTACAATTATGATTTTTCATTTTAACAAAAAAAAAATTGATTATGCACCTACCAACTCATACCCGCAGTTTTAAAAAAAATTTGCATACTCAGAATTCATATTCATGTGTACACCAATATTTATATTCATATTTTATTTTATTATAATAAAAATTATTGATCAATTATAATTTATCCTATTATTTTAAATTAATTTATAATAATATTTTAAAAACATTCAACAATATTATTATTGAGTTAGAAAATAAACAAATATTTATATTAAAATGTTTACAAATTTAACAGTGATTTATTTAATAAAATTGATAAACTTATATATATAATAATAAAAGTAAAAGAGAAAAAGAAATGCATTAACAGTATAAAATATTTTTACACTGTCAATCAATGAGATATGCATCATAATAAGTTTCAATTTTAATTTTAAAATATAATAAATTTTAATAGTTTTGATTGATTGTATGTATAAAATCGTATTATACTAATAGTACATTATCTTTAAACACAAAATAAATATATATAAATATATACTATCCGAACATGAGAATATTTGTGACCATATCCACTTATTTTATCTAATCGGTTATAGATTATTTTTGCAGATATTCATTAGAGATAGGTCCAATTGTATCCCTATGCTATATAGAAATCGAAAAATTTACATCAATCATATTTATTAATGGGGTAGATTTTGACCAAATTAGTCTTCGCCTTCGATTAAGTCTCCCTTATTAAGATCAAAGGAGATCCGTTATGATTTATTGAGAAATCCTCCATTATTATAACTAGCTACTAGTTTGCCTTTGGCCTCTTGTATAAAAAAATGAAAAAATACTGTTTAAAGAAATAACAAAAATATAAATATATGAGTAAAAAACCAAACCAAAACTCATGCGAAACAAATTCATGAAATAGTCATGTAGATATTATCTATTAGACAGAGTAATTAGAGCATGAGATAAAGGATATGTATGCATCCTTATAGTGTACTTAATCCTTAAAGACATTTGAAGCAAAAAAATCATGTTTATGTGGTAATAAAGCAAATTAGATCTCATGAAAAGAACAAAAATATATAAAGGAAAGAAAAGAAAGGCAGGAAAAGATAATAACCATTAATAAAATTTTGATTTGAAATTGAAGGAGAATATGAATCTCATTTACACACACATACATCTCTTGTGAAAAAGAAAGCAAACATAAAATAAAAGGAGTACAATAAATAAGATAAAAAAGAAGAAGAAAAAAAGTTAACAGTAAGTAAGGAGAATCATCTTTTGTATTATGGTTATTTTTAAATTCGTACCATTAAAGAACACTAACTGTGAGGTTCTAAAACCAGGCTACAAGCACATGAGTACCCCTTATTGTCAGACTCTATGATTCCCTCTCTCTCTCTCTCATGTTTTTTTCATTTTTTTTTGGATAAACAATTATTTGATTCTCTTAGTAAAAAATTCACCAAAGAAAAATTTATCAACACATATATTAAACGATAAAAGAAAAAGACTATTTACCCCTTTGTGTAGGAAGTTACAATTATCTCATTGCTTTATCTCATGCTTTTTCTTTTGTCTCTCTCTCATATAAACCAACTTTATTCCCACTAAACTCATCTCTAAAAAGAAGATGATCCTCTCTTGATCCTCCTTGTGTTCACAAACCAACATACTCTCCCTTTTATATATATCTCTATCTCCATCTCTCTTCCTCTCTCCCCCACAAGAACAACAACATCAAAGCAAGAAACCAAACACTCTATTTTCTTCTTGTTTGTTTGTTCTTTTCCTACATACAACCCAATAACCACCTTGTTTTTTATTTTTTTTATTTTGTTATATGAACATATCTTAAACACTCTTTCTTAGTGAATTATTTCTTCAAATTAAGAATGGCATCACCATCTGAACTAGGCTTGGATTGCAAGCCACATAGCTACTCCATGTTGCTTAAATCAGTTGGAGAACAAAGTGATCAAACATACAAACTCGAAGAGTTTGTTTCTCGTTTGGAAGAAGAACGTCTCAAGATTGATGCGTTCAAACGTGAACTTCCTCTCTGCATGCAACTTCTCACAAACGGTACACTTTCATATCATCTTTTTTTTCTTCTCTTAGAATGATCATTAGTGTCACTTTAATTAAATAATAATTTCTATTTTTTTTCAGCTATGGAGGCGTCGAAGCAACAACTTCAAGCTTACAAAGTGAGTCAAGGAGTTACAAAGCCGATTCTCGAAGAATTCATACCGGTAAAGGAAGTAACATCATCAGAAACCATGGAAAAGATAACGAATAATAATGTATGTGATAAGGCAAATTGGATGACGAGTGCTCAACTATGGAGTCAAACAACAGAAGGAACAAAACAACAAAACTCCACAAAAGAAATCACTGAAAGCAACAATATTGGATTCAACATTAGTCCTAAACATAGAAACGGTGGAGCCTTTTTACCCTTCTCAAAAGAAAGAAACAACTCACCATGCCAAAACCAGGGTGGTCTTCCTGAACTAGCACTTGCTTCTAACCAGAAAGAGGTTGAGGATAAGAAACATGTTGCAGAGGAAAAAGGAGACAAGAGAGAAAACACCCAAGAAAAAGGAAGTCCAGTAGCATCATCACATACTCAAACAACAAGCAACAATTCAAACCAAACTCATAGGAAAGCAAGAAGGTGTTGGTCACCGGACTTACACCGGAGATTCGTCAATGCTCTTCAAATGCTCGGAGGATCTCAAGGTATACAAATTAAAACTTAACTAGGATATCCCTTCCGTCACTTTATTGTATCTTATATATAATTAATGTATCTCATCTATATAAGTTAACTTAGTATAAATATAATAAGGTTGATTCAGTTTATATACTTTTATCTGTTAATAAATCATTTTGATATGATTGTTTGTTATTGATAGTGGCAACACCAAAACAAATAAGGGAATTGATGAAGGTGGATGGTTTGACCAATGATGAAGTTAAAAGCCATTTACAGGTATTTCTCTCTTAACGGATACAACACAGACACTTTCTTGTTACTGTTACTGTACTGTAGTACTATTATTTTTTCTGACATGTTTTAACGAACTTTTGTATTTTCGTTTGTTGTTTGTTTTTTGTTTTCTAAAAGAAATATAGGCTACACACAAGAAGACCAAGCCTAGGTGCACAACCAGGTGCACCAGCGGCACAGCTAGTTGTTTTAGGAGGAATATGGGTCCCACCGGAATACGCCACCGCGCATTCAGGAGGAGCAACTACTCTCTACGGTGGGCATCCTACTTCTCATCATATGACTCTGCCACACTACTGTACTGCACCTGGTCAGGAGTATTATACTACTGCAGCGCCGCCGCAGCATCAGCAGCTACTTCCGCCGCCGCATCATATGCATCATGTTTACAAGGCGACGCCGAATGGTCAGGGATCGCCGGACACGGGTGGAGATGGGTTGGAGAGTATTGAAAATGGGAAGTCGGAGAGTGGGAGCTGGAAAGAAGGGAGTTCTGAGAATGAAGGAGAGAGGAAAGGGTTTGTTGAAGAGAGCAATGGGAGTGAAATCACTCTCAAATTTTAATTAGGGCTTAATAATAATCATAATCATAATCATAGTAATAATTAATATTATTTTAATTAATTAGAAGAAATTAGAATGAGGATTTTGTTTTGCAATATTCCTATGCATCTTGGTTTGTTAGACTATTCATCAGTTAACAAAAAAAATTATCATTAAATAAAATGAAAATTGTTTAGAACTAAATGTTTAATTTCATGTGGAAGGTAAATATTGCATGTAGTTAGTTAGAGGGTTAAAAAGGACCAAAAAAGTGAGTATTTGTTTTGTACTATTCTGTTATGTGCTGCTACTACTATTTGTGTACTACAGTCCACAGAGGGAAGAATCGGATTCTGACTCTTGGCCTTTTCTGAATTTCATGGTTGGACATATTTACCCTCTAGTCTTATGAATAATAACAAGAACATCTTTTAAAAAATTCAAAGTCATGCATGTAAAACAGATCGTTTCACCTTAAGGTCCTTGAACATCCCACAAGAGTGTTCAAATATTTTAATTTTTATGTCCTGAACTTTTGTTACTTTTATGCCATGAACCTCATTACAAGCGAAGCATATGTGAAGAATGTTGTCGTTTCATGCAATATTTCTTCAACATCCTAGAACTAATTTCTTGTGCACATAATTAGAGTTTTTCATCTTTAAACTCTAAAGCGTTCATGCCTTTTTCTCACATCAAATCTATCATCCACATTCATCAAGGGACTCTACTATAACTTTTCTCAATATATACTTTATTATTTAAAATGATGACATCAAAGCAAATATTTAATAAATGGAAGAAAAAAATCACGATAGTTCTAATTAATAACATATGAAATTCTGTTTGAAATCAATAAGCAAAATAAGTCAGTCAGCTAATTGTAAAGTCAAGTCAGTATGATACAAAGTCACTTACATCTGGAGAGTCTTAGTACAAAGAAAGAAAATTTGCTAATTAATAATTAATAGTACATGACAGCTATTGGTGAAGTTTGATCTAGACTCTCTTAAAATTTGAAAATCTTCCCACTTTCACTAAAATACTTTCCTAAATATTTGTACAATTACAGAGATATGCCGAGTGATAATTCACAATTACAAACAAGTATTTTATTCTTCTAATTTATGAAAGATATCTCTAAAATTGTGTATTACAAATCCAAAATAAAAGACTCAATAAAAACTATAACACATTAAGTTTTAATCTATCAGGTTTAAGTCTTCACATGAGGTTAAACCTCAACAACTTCCAGCATAAAAGTTCAGAAGGATTTTGGTGTGAAAATTGTTAGAATAATAATGTAAGTGTGAGTAAGTGGAGAAAAGTCTCACATTAGATAGAGATGTGGAGATTTGAACATATATAAGTGGGAGAACTCACTCACCTATTACCTTAAAGTTTTAGATGGACAAGTGGTGTGTCTCTCACAAAGGTGCATAATTCTCAACTTTGTATCAATGCTCCCTAGTGAACTCCCCCAACAAATGGTAAAATTTACAGACACCAAAAAATAATCTGGTCACTAAATTTGTCGCTAATTACACGAAAAAGACTAAAATGAAACATCTTAAAAGTTAAGGGACCAAACCAAAATGAGTATTTTGCCTAATATCTTTTATTTTAACTATTAAGGAGACATGTATTGAGATTTGTTATGGATTTGTTGGATTTTGGATATTAAAAATATGTATCTCTTCTGTTATTATAGTGTGACAATCTTAGAGCTTATAGCAACAAAGAAGATGTTAGAATAATAATTCAAGTGCGAGTAAATGAAGAAATAGTGGGAGAGTCCACTCACCTACCACCTTAAGGTTTTAGGTGGATAAGTGGTGTGTCTCTCAGAAAGGTTCATAATCTTCAACTTTGTATCAATGCTGCTAGTTGAAATTCTAGCACTTACATAATATGGAAGAACTGATATTACAAACATCAGAATATGATTTCATGGTGAATGTTACAACATCTGCCTACAGACTGAATAGCAATATACTACTATTATATTATGCAGAATTATAAACGCATAATGATAAAGAAGACAATCAATTGTTAACTCAGCTCGGTGCAACTCACCTTCATCTAGGGGCTACCAAGTCAGGAAGGAAATTCATTATTAGCAGTATTAATTCGAAGTTAAACTCCATTGTTTACAACCTCTCACTTAATCCCTACCCAGAGAAACTTCTACCTAGACACTTCCTAGATATGAGAATCCACTCATTTCCAATCACCGCAGTGATATCAACTACCAATCACAAGGAAAGACAATCTCAATCCCAGGAACTTCCAAGAAGAACATACTTCCCAATTACAAAGAAAGACAACCTCAATCACAGGATGTGCCAGGAAGAATACACTTCCAAATTAAAAATACTTAGTTAACACTCTTAACTAAAAATAATAGTTGAATTGCTTAAAAGCTTCCACCAAGAGTAACACCCAACTCTTTGCTTATAAGCTTAGAGGAGAACAATACTCAACTCGTGCCTTCAGGCTTTGAGTGAGAACATTATGTCTATCACAAGTATCAAAAGATACAAGGGTGACTTACACCATAATGAACGCAAGAGACTCTCAAACCTAAACCCTTATTTTTCAAACTGTTAAGAACTGTATTGCCCTAGGTCTTGGTCTTCCTTTTATAATTCTTCATCTATTCATGGGCTTCAAAGTCTCTGCCCAATTATTCCTTAATCCATGCGCTGATTACTGTAGAGAATATCTCCTAAAATCTTGGAACAAATCTTCAAGTATCCTAAATTAGCTTAACAATCAAATTTAGAAACTTTAATGTGGATGGACATTTGATTATTTTGTTCCAGATTGCATATTCTTGACCTGTGAAAATAACTGAGATATAACCAAAAGGAATCTCAAAATCAAATCAAATTTTATCAAGAAATATCAAACAGTAGCACTTACTTCACCAGACCAAGATGTCATGACATTATTTTCGACATCTGGTTGAAAAACACATAACAGCCATCCTGTTATAACAAACAATGTTTTTCCAAAATTTAGCCAATCACAAAACCACGGTTCTAACAGTCTCCCCCTTTGGTAAATTTTGGCTAAAACAATCTTAGCACAAAAAATTCAGGAGATTTTTCATCATTGAAAAACACATCTCATCAGAGCAGCATCAACATCAACATCCTCTATTTCAGTCAGCATGACAAAATATCATACTCCCCCTTAATAGTTGCATTCAGTAAGCAACCATCATAGCTACTCTCCTCTAGAAGTAGCAGACAGTTCTATCACAATGATAAATCAACATGTCAAGATATGTGATGTAACATTAGGACACAAAGCACATCAACACTTTACTCCCCTTTTTTAGCCAAAATCTTTACAAAAACTGGAGTAAATTTACACAAACAGCAGAAAACACATATTGCATACAGAAGCATTTAACGACGGGAAGAATTATTACTCCCCATGTCACACAGAACCACTTCTAAGCACAGAGAACTAATTCTCCTCCCCGTGTGGAAGAAGAAACATTTCCAGAAGCACAAGAAAACCAACCTGAAAAATCACCATATCAGAACTGAGGAAAAGCCAATCGACTTGCATGAGCTATCCAAGTTCACACATTTGAGACTCATCTCCTTAGAACAACACACGTGAGCTATCCAAGTTCACATATAAACAGAATGTCAGAACATCTGGTTTGACATCTCTGCACACCAGAAACCACAACAACATCACACAAGCATGACAAACCCTTAAAAAGTTGCAAGATAAACACACTTTGACACTTTTACTCCCCCTTGAAATAACCGGCTGAAAATCATCAAACAATGAAGTCGCCATCGAACGTCTTTTATCCCACATGTAGGGAAAGGTAAACATCGAGAAAACCTGAGAAGGGAGAAGTCACGGTCTTGCGACCGAGAGATCGGGTAAGGGAGTCTGTTACGCGAGGGGAAGGTATTAGCACCCCCACACGCCCGTAGTACTCTACGGTATCCACTCTTGTTATCTATCTTATGGGTGTGTTTAATCTATGCTTACTGTCTACTATACTACTGAAAGGAATGCATGCAAAAGAAAAGAGAAAAGAATGTAGGGAAAATAAAATTGTGCTCGCCTGGGCCCTACCCCAATGCCTACGTATCCTTTTTGAGGAATCAGAGCTACCGTAGTTCGGCTCACATGTTTTTGTTTGTTTGTGTTTTTTATGGACAATGTTAATTCCGCCTTCTGCCGCAGCTCGACCTTTGGAGACTTATACGTTGGCACAGAAGTAAACTAATCATGTCCTTACCTGAAAATGGGTTTTAGAGAGAAGGTGCTCGAGCGCACAAAATGGTTTGAATTTGTTTTGTATTTTTGTTACCTTGAAAAAGGGTTTAGGTATGATTAGCATGTTTTTGATTTGCTAAGAAGAGAAGTTTTTGTTTTGAATGCAAGGATGCAAAGGGGAAGAAAAGAGTCTAAGGGAGACTAACCTATTTCTAACCTAATGTTATCATACAATGGTGGTCCTAAGGTTTGGATTAACAAAAGGGAAACGTCTACCTAATGTTAGCATGCATGGTTTACAACTTAAGGTCTAACTTGCGTCCGAACGGAGCAAGCGCATCCTAAGGGAACATGGTATGTACAGGGATAAAGCAAACAAGCCAGCAAAAAGGAAGCACACCTAAAGGGATCCTGCCTAGGTTAGCATGTTGAAGAAAAGTCTAAAAAACTATCCTATAGGGAGCATGCAATAAGAGCGAAGTCGTGATCTCAATTTCTAAATTGAGTGACTCATCGATCAACAAGAAAGTAAAGAAAGCGATAAAGTCCTATAGGGAGCATGCACTGAGAGCGAAGTCGTGATCTCAATTGCTAAATTGAGTGACTCATCGATCAACAAGAAAGTAAACAAACATAAGCACAACATATATAGCAAATGAAGTGTGGAATGCCTGCTACAGGTCTTTAAACAGCGACTTCGAGCGCACGCTCTTTATTTCCTACTTCACATGATATCTAGAAAGTGGTAAATGTAATATTACAACAAA